GCAACCAAATATTATAACTGTATGAGGAAACTACTAATAAAATGCCTTCCATAAATGACATAAATGATACCACAACGGCTCCTATCAAAGACCAATTAAATGGTACTTTTCCAATGCAAAATACTGTTATTGTACCTATTTATAAAAGTAAAATATATTATTAGTAAGTAGTAACATTGCATGAAAAAAAAATCTTTACAAGTTACAAGTCTAAAGTAAAGGAAAATCCACCTAATTACTATTATCACTGAAGTTGTATTGTCATCATTTAATTATCTTTCACTGATAAAACTCTATAAGCATTAGCTTGAAAAATTTTGAATTTAACATTACGTGTTTTTACATTTCTCGATGATATAAGGTGAAAAATTAAACTTATACAATAAAATATATTTACTCACCTATGATTGTATAAAGAGCTTCAACAGCTCCATTATAAATCTTATCTTGAGGAGAAACTGCAGTTTGCCAAAGCAACTGTATATAACCAGTAACTTGCAAATATCCGCAAGTTGAGAAGGAGCACCATAATGACCACTTAACTATGTGTCCATTCGAATAAGCTTCTAAAAAATCTTTCCACAATAAAGCATAAGCTAGTCTTACTTTCTTCACCATTGAAACCTTTTTATTGGAAGAGTCAAATTGAATATGATCTTCAGATAATTGTGGTACTGGAGTCAACTGTTGGTCTGATGCTGTTTCAATGGTTACTTCAGAAATACAATTTTCATTTTTTCTATGAAAGTAAATAGACTTTCCAACAGGAGGTAAAAAAAATGCCCAAATCATTGCAAATGTAACAGCTAAAAAATTCAATTTACTTTATGTGAACACTTATAACTTCTCAACAAGCTGCATATTACTTTCAAAAAATATATAAGTAAAAATATGTCAATACCTGATAGGGTAAGGTAATTTAGTTGATGATAATCCAACATATCAAAAGAAACTGTTAATTGTGCAATAATACCAGACATACAACGACCAAATAAAGATGCTGCTTTTGTGTGGCTTGTTACTTCTTGATAATGTTCTTTATCAACTTTAGCATAAATATATGTGTAATAAGCTACTTCTGTGGAAAAGAATAAGCCATAAAAGAACTCCATAATTTGCATAGTCAAAAGATTCTTTCCAAAAATGATTAAAACGTAGGTGATTGCACCAGATAGACCACATAATATAATGACAGGCTTATATTGGACAAAGTCTGTTATTAAAAACACAACAATTAATGTTGCAAAGTAAGAATATGTAGAGACAGGAAAAATTTCGTGGTTCACCTGAAAAATTATATTTTTATACAATCCTTTATTGGATATAAACATGTTACACAAGAATCATACATATCTTTACAAACAAAAATATCCTAATCACATATACAAACAAAGTACATTCTGTACACGCTAAGAAAATAAACAAATTCTAAAATTATTAATTTAAATAAGGAGATTTCATGCCTATGAATAAATGTAACACACAATTCAGATCGTACTCACTTGAACACTTGTAAAATTTTTCCATGGGCCAGTAAAATAATCAGTGACAAAAGATTCGGAAGGTCTGAATTCTTTGAAACATCCAAATACACATAAAATACATGAAATTACTATCCACTTCATCTTAATAACCTTTGTTTTTCTTCGTTTTCAGACCATGTTCTAACAACATTCTTTAAAATTGAAATCTTGTTATGCTTGGTACCCTCACCATCATCAAGTGTAATTAAAATTAATTTAATATTTATCATGTATCTACTAGAGGTCCCGATTTCGAACGTGTATTAAAAAGCTAAAGATCTGTGATGAAAATTGAAACTTACATTCTTCAATATATAGTAATGGGACCTACTCCTGCACGCTCTTCTTACTCCCTAATATGACGCACACAACACCACCATTTTATTGCGCATGCAATCTGCAGTGGATTCTATCTCAACATTGAATCATCAACTAATCAGAGCAAAGAAGATTTCTATATTAACCCTTACTAACGGATCAAGCTATGGCTTAGAGGTGTCAAGTATAGGTCCTATTACTGTACTCTCATAAAAGTATTACAAATGAATTGAGGAGCTTTCCCAGATGAAAATGACAGCATCAAAACACGATATCATTTGGAGTTTCTTCAATAATATTATAATTTTTTCATAACATTATGTATCAATAAAAAATGTTTGTTTACACAAAAATTCAATTACTGTTGGAAATATTGTCACAAAAAAAAGCATTTGAAATAGGGATCTCTAGTATCTACAACAGAAGTAATTTTGCGAAATTGCAATTTATATTAATCGCATCTATAAACCAATGTACAAAATATTTTACACTTACTGTCATTGCTGATCGTGAGGTTCGTACATAATTTAAATTGATTAATTATGTTATACTAAATAAAAGTATAAACTTGTTTCTCCCACTTTCTTGCAGTTCTTCCCAATTCACAAATGCAAATTAGCATAGGGTAGAGGAGCCAATTACTGTGCCGTGTTGGTGGACTTCAGGAGGTTTCGCTACTAAAAACAACTTTAGCAATTTAATTGACATTTCTTAAGTACTTAAAAATAAATGTCACAGATTCTCTACCAATATAAATTTTCCCATGAAACAAATATATAAAACAAACTTTCTTTTAATATTAGGAGAAAGAAAGAGAAAAGTTTTGACACCAGTTACTGTGTGCCTATGATCTATAAACATCAAATATTGGGCTTCAGTTACTGTGTTCCCTCTCTGAATATTGTGTTTCATTTACTGTGCTCCCTCCTCGAATACTGTGCTTCAATTTCTGCACTCCCCCATAATAAGTCATTAACAAGTTCACATTGGAGACGATTGCTTTAATAAAATTTTACATTTCTGCTCTTTAATACGTTTTACCAATTCAATTAACATTGTGATCTTACCTAGAACGATTTATTTTACTGAATATTGATCTTTAATTTTAACGAATAATTAATTGTGTTGAAATAAAAAAAATTTAATATGTCTTATTCGATAAACATTTAGTTATCCTTGAAAATAAACTAAAGGTATAGTAATTGGCCAGTCCACAGTAACTGGTTGCATTACCTGCACTATCCTACTTGACCCTACCGTCACCTCCTGTAGCATACATAAGTACTGTGCCTTGCACAGAAGAAGTTCGCTGAGAAAAGTGTAGGACCGATCCCCACTATTCCATTCATTCTAACGTCATCGCAAAAGAGTAGAGCAAACGCGTTTCCCTTATTGGCAGAAATGATCCCTTCCTATTAGCCTCAAGTGCACGCAATACGGCGATGTTGAGGACTACGCCACCTGACTACCATCGCAGCATCTCGCTCCCCGTGGTCGCCCAAATACTACACGCAGTAGGAATGATTTCGGTAATGTCATAGAACAGTGGAAACTACGAGCGTGCATGTCAGGCGGAGCGAGTAGGAATACCTATCTTGCCCGCGTACCGTAACGGTTGACTCCTCCTGAGCAAGGCACAGTATGCAGTTACGGACGCGATCGCTGTAGGTCGCGGATGTACCACTCACGATGACTCACGAACACGTGGTCACAATCATATTGAATTTTAATTGGAAAAAATTCTCTATACCTAAATGACAATTGAAAAACTGTTTCAAAATTAAAGAACATGCAGTAATACCTCAGGTTTTGCACGATTTTTCTATCTCCCTTAGATTTTGCAAGTATCCCCACCATTTTACTGCGCAGCCAATCCGCAGTGAATCGTGTCTTAGCATTGAGACATCAGCCAATCAGAGCAAAGCAATTTCTAGTCCTATTCTGGATAACGGAGCATGCTGCGGCCGGAGAGTCTTGCAAAACTTGAGGTATTACTAAGTATAAGTGGTACCCCGTGTTCCTTCCGAATCGAGCGGTTACGACCAGTCACCATACGCACACTGACATACACTGCTTTCGTAACTACAACTGCTATCTGCTATTACCGCCACCACTACCATCAGCTACCATCACTGCACAGTCGCGTGGTCGCACAATCACTGGGCCAGTGTGTTCAGATTGCGACGTAAACCAGCGCAGGAGACTCGGGGTGGGGATAGTAGTGGGGATATCACTGGCATGATAGTCCACGTTACATGCTTCACGACGGTTGATGACGGTCAAGCCAACTGTGTACCTATCTATGATCAGAGCTCTCAAATTCCATTGGCAATCCATTGGAATCGCCCAATCCTACTTGTGAGATCTTTTCCCCATTTGGAACAGATTCCGAATAACCTTGTCATAACTTTGAGTGAAAATTCCATGAACGTCAGGATGCTGGGAGGTCTACATGTGCACTGCACTGGGCTCGCGGGCAATGTTGCCAGGGAACTGATGGCGAGTGGGGCTCTCCGGACGTCGCACTCCCCGCAAACATCCTCAAGCTCCTTTTTCCCCTACCGGAGAGTCTCGGATAAGAGGACATTGAAGTGGTGAGGATGCATTGTGGCCAAAAAGCTGACCTACACATCATCACGTGATGGCTATGACGCGTAGGTCAGCTTTTTGCTACACGGTGTATTCCCACCGCTTCAGTGTTCGCCTTTTAGTAGGAGTAGGAAGTTTGTAAAGGATTTCGGACATCGTGCAGACGTGAGGGCCGCTCTTATCTCGCAAGCAAAGTTAAAATTCGAGCATATGTGAACTGTAAGGGCGCAACGAGCATATCTTATGATGAAATAATACAAGTGACAACACTGTTCATATGTACATACGTAGATCGAAAATTTTAGGGTCACGAATATCAAAAATTTTCATAGAAATTTCAGTTCAATGAGAATAAAATAATATACTCCGTGCCATCGTTTTTCATTTGTCTAAATATTCAATTTTTGTAAAGAAAGTATTGTAATTTTAGTTAATAACAATGTTTATTCAGATTTATTACCTATCATATAATCAGTGATAAAATTTAGTTACAATAGTCTTTGTTTTGCCAGAAAATAAGTACAGAAATGAACTAATTACAACTAAATACATATGTATCCAATTTTCTAGTTCTGTGTATGTACAATATACTCACATGCTTGTGAAAATTATTATTATTTTTGAGTTCTATAATTCTAATTGCATATAATCAAATTCTGATCTAC